TCGAATAAGTACTGTGATATCCCAGACCAAACATTAAATGGAAGATGAATTTACCAATAGCATCTTCTGGAAGTGTTCTTTGAGTTATCTGATCTGGTTAGACAGAATAGCATCTTCTGGAAGTGTTCTTTGAGTTATCTGATCTGGTTTGGCAGAACCAATCATTGAATTTGGAAGATGAATTTGCTAATAGCATCTTCTGGAAGTGTTCTTTGAGTTATCTGATCTGGTTAGACAGAATAGCATCTTCTGGAAGTGTTCTTTGAATTATCTGATCTGGTTATACAGAATAGCATCTTCTGGAAGTGTTCTTTGAGTTATCTGATCTGGTTAGACAGAATAGCATCTTCTGGAAGTGTTCTTTGAGTTATCTGATCTGGTTTGGCAGAACCAATCATTGAATTTGGAAGATGAATTTGCTAATAGCATCTTCTGGAAGTGTTCTTTGAGTTATCTGATTTGTTTTGGTAAGAACTACAGAACCAATCATTAGAATTAAAAGATGAACTGCATGATCTTCTTCATTAAGAAGTTTCTTTTCAAGCTTCTTTTGCTTATTCCTTTCCCAAAAATCATAGCACAAGTTTCGCCTTTGCTTGTAACTGGGATCATCACATAATGGCTTCCCATCTTTTACCGGAAGAAAGCTATTTGAAGTTTCAGCTTCTGAGAATCACATTTTTGTCAAGTATAACAGTGTATCTCTTCATCAGAATCAGAAGTCAAGATTTCTCGGTATTAGAAGAACTATCAATATCGGTGAAATCATCTTGAAAGGTCACTTCATAATCAGATGAATTGTTATCAGAATCAACATGTTGCCTGAATGCGAGCTTTTCAAGAGCCTATACGATTGAGTTTTATTCTCAAGAGATTTTGTGACATTATATCTACATCTACATTTTTCAAAGATGATAGATTCTTTGTTTTGAAGAAGAAAAATCTATTAGGTTTTTACAATTGAAGAAATACTCAATTCACCAATCTGAAATCAAATAACTCAACATTCATGCATCATATTTAGGCATTTGCAAAAATAGATGCATTTTCATTCATTTTCATCTATGTTGAATTTTTAACAGGAATTTCAAAGATTTTAGCAAAGATTTCAAATCCACTTGATGGATCATTCATTACCAGATAAGTTCATAATGAGAAGAACTCATCTGAAGAAGGAAGGAGAAGTTCATAATGAGAAGAACTAGTTCAACTTTTTGTTTAAATTCATCATTTGGTGAATCATCTTTTCCAGAGAAAGTTCATAATGAGAAGAACTCATCTGAAGAAGGAAGAAGAAGTTCATAATGAGAAGAACTTGTTCAACTTTTTGTTTAAATTCATCATTTGATGGATCAACATTGCCAGAGAAGGTTCATAATGAGAAGAACTCATCTGAAGAAGGAAGAAGAAATTCATAATGAGAAGAATTTGTTCAACCTTTTACCTGAATCCATCATTTGGTGAATCATCTTTTCCAGAGAAAGTTCATAATGAGAAGAACTCATCTGAAGAAGGAAGAAGAAGTTCATAATGAGAAGAATTTGTTCAACCTTTTACTTGAATCCGTCATTTGATGGATCAGCTTTTCCAGAGAAAGTTCATAATGAGAAGAACTCATCTGAAGAAGGAAGAAGAAGTTCATAATGAGAAGAACTTGTTCAACTTTTTGTTTGAATTCATCACTTGATGGATCATCTTTTCCAGAGAAAGTTCATAATGAGAAGAACTCATCTGAAGAAGGAAGAAGAAGTTCATAATGAGAAGAATTTATTCAACCTTTTACCTGAATTCATCACTTGATGGATCATCTTTTCCAGAGAAAGTTCATAATGAGAAGAACTCATCTGAAGAAGGAAGAAAAAGTTCATAATGAGAAGAATTTATTCAACCTTTTACCTGAATTCATCACTTGATGGAACATTTTTTCCAGAAAAAGTTCATAATGAGAAGAACTCATCTGAAGAAGGAAGAAGAAGTTCATAATGAGAAGAATTTGTTCAACCTTTTACCTGAATCCATCAATTGATGGATTATCTTTTCCGGAGAAGTTCATAATGAGAAGGACTCATCTGAAGAAGAAAGAAGAAGTTCATAATAAGAAGAACTTGTTCAACTTTTGGCATAATTCTATCACAGAAGGAGATAGATTAACATCAGCCTTTCTAGAGAAAGTTCATAATGAGAAGAACTCATCAAGAGCTTATTCAACCTTTTGAATGACTCTATCACAGAAAGAAGGTTATCATTATCCCCAGCAGAAAGTTCATAATAAGAAGAACTTATTTGGAGAGAGAGAAGAATTTATTCAATATCTCCATTATGATCAAAATAAAATCAAATGGATAAAAAATTTTATTATCTTTTCATCTTTGCCCTATTCTTGTTAACACAAGAATGAGCAAAGAGGGGCAGCTGAAGATACTAATTTTTATCCATATTATTATTAATATTATTATTATTATTATTATTATTATTACTATTATCATTATTATTATTATTATTATTATTATATTACTATTATTATTATTATTATTATTATTATTACTATTATTATTAAATATATTAAATACATATAAATATTATTAAAAACAAACAAATAATAAAAAATATAATTACAGGCCCAATTACAATTGAACCGGCCCAGTTACAAACCAACCAGAGCCGGTCCAAATCCAACCAGAAACCCTAAATATTTGGGTTTCCAGTTAGGGTTTCCTAACCCTAATCTAACCAGCCGCCTCAGCTCATAGCCGTTGGATCTGGCAAGATCCAACGGTCCAGATGGCTCCAGAGAGGAACCCTAGGGTTTGATACCCTAGGGCCACGCGGCGCCGCCCCAGCTTCCACGCGGCTGCCGACAGTCTTCTCGCCGCCACGCCGCTGCCACGTCCCAACCGAAGACTCCAGAAGATAAAATGGCAGCCGTCCACGCCATGGCTACTCGGTGAGTCACCACTGGTAGTCCGGTGACTCACCGAGAGCCCTTCTTCGGACCGGTCCGACGGCTACAACGGTGGTGGCTATAAAAGCCACCACCCCACCTGCGAAGAAAAAAAAAGGGACAGAAAAATAGAGAGAAAAAACAGAGAACGGAAAAGAAAAAAACAAACACACAGAAAAAGAAAAAAAATACTAACCAACGATCTCAGCCAAATATCCCATAAGCAGAAACAAAAAAAGAAGGAAAAAGGAAGAAGAGAACTTACCGAGGAAGCTCCGACTACCAGATCTCACCGGAACCTTCGAAACAACGAAGGTACTTTTGTAGATTTGCTCCGATTGGGAGCCTTTTAGGAAGAAATAACACCGGAACCGTCCTTAGGACGGTCCGATCTATATATTAGTGTAAAAATCTTTTTTTCCGGCCACCGGATGCGGTGGCCGGCGGTGATGGTCACGGCGGCAGACGGTTGCCGTCCGGTAACCGGCTTCCCTCCGATGAGGGAAGCTAGAGAGAAGGCAGAGAGTTTTAAAACTCTCTCTGCTAGAGAGAGAAGAAAAAAAAGAAATGAAATGGTTGGCCCTTCGGGCCAGCCGGTTTGGACCATTTATAGTCCTTCCCGAACGACGTCGTTTCGGGAAGGACTATGCGCGTAATTAAAAAATAGTTAAATCCCGTCCGTAGTCCTCCCAACTTGTAAATTTTATATTTTAGTCACTAAATTAAATTTATAATATTTTTAATTCAGTCTTCGAATTTTAATTTCTTTTATTTTAGTCCTTCATATTAAAATAATATATTTAGGATAAATTACAGATTTAATCCCTTAATTTTAATAAATAAAGTTTTAATCCCTAGTTTATATTTTTAATTTATTTGATTCTAATATCCGAATTTTAGATAATTTTATTTTAGTCACCAAATAAATAAAATAAGGAACTAACATATTAAATCCCTATAATTTTGATTAATTATGAATTAGATTCTTAATTTTATTTTTATTATAATTTAGTCAGTTATTTTATATGTTTTCATTTATTTTATTGTTTTTAAATATATTGTTTTAGTAGTATTTGTATTTTTATTTTATTATATTGTTAAATATTTTTATATTCATAAATATATAATAAATAGTAATTTTTAAATATTTATTTTTAATATCGAAGAAAAGGACAGTCTTAATACAACTGGATGTTCTATTCTGATATTTTAAAATTAAAAAGTAAACAATATTATTTAAATTAATATTTATCAATATCAAAGAAAAGAGCTGTCTTAAGGCACCTAGAAGTTCTTTTCGGATATTTTTAAATAAATAAATATTTTTTATAATTTTGAAATAATAGAATTATAAATTAAATATATTTTGAATTTTTAAAATTTTAATAATAGAGACAATTTATAATTAAAAAGTACCAATTTGGGCGTTGTAGGGGTGCTAATCCTTCCCTAAACGTAACCGACCACGAATCCCTTTTTATTATTAAAAAGAATGAATTTTTGGTTATAAACGCAGATCAGTTTATTTTTTTATTGGTGTTTTATTAAAACTCTTTTAAAAAAATAATTTTTAGGTATTCGACCTACCTGACCCAAAAGGCCGATGGCGACTCCCAAATTATTTTCAAAATTATTTATTAACATTAATTTCCCTGCCAAATTTTAATATTTCGTACCCGGACGAAAACCGGTTACGACAAGTTAGAGTTCTCACAAGGTGTGATTTTAATGTTTACTTAGGCGCGCAACTGACCAATAAGTGTCCCGAAGCGTCTAAGGTCGCACGTCCAGTTATATCGAAACTTTAGGGGCATGGCATTTAGTGATTAAATTAAAAATATTAAAAGTACAATGGAAAAAATAGGAGAGAGAGTAATGTTTAGTGAGTAAATTTGCAATTTACCCTATTTTTAAACGGCTTAGGAGGCTTGACGCATGAGCGCTGGATTGGGCCTTTGAAGTAAGGAAAATAAATTCCAAATACGGGCTTAGGCGAATAGCTTCGGCCATTGGGCATAACAATTAAACAATCAAAGATAATAACAGTAGGAAGTGCAGAACCCTAACCATTTTGAACATTCTCAATTCACTTCCCACTTCTCTAACATTCCTACTACTGCAAATCCCCAACTTCCGCCCTCAGATCCCGATCTCTGGTTTCATTTCCGATATCTTTTTCGTACTTGGATAGCTCTTTTCCGTGAACTTTGATGGCGATTGCAGGTCAACCTCTAGATATTCTCGGCGAGCGCCAATCTGGTCAGGATGTTCGCACTCAAAACGGTAATCTTCTCTCCCCTCCGTCCCCCTTCCGTGCTTCATTTATTAACAAAATACTTATCTTATTTTCCTTTTTACTCCGGGGATTTTCAAAAGTGATGGCGTGTCAAGCTGTTGCCAACATTGTTAAATCCTCACTAGGCCCGGTTGGACTCGACAAGGTTGCCAATGAAACCTCATATGCTTATTCTTTGTTCTTATTTTCATTTACTGTTTTCAGAATAATTTTTTTTTTAAAAAATGAATCATCAGTTGCGAGGTGGTACTAATGATGTTGAATTTGCTGTAATGTTACTTTTCCTTTTCTTTTGGTTTGATTATTTTCAGATGCTTGTTGATGACATTGGTGACGTAACGATTACAAACGATGGTGCTACGATACTTAAGATGTTAGAAGTTGAACATCCAGCTGCCAAGGTTGATAAACAGCCGTATTTTGCATATTATTATTAGATATCTGCCGTTGCATAGCTACTTCACTTGTAGTATATTTTTAATATACTTTGTGGTGGCAGGTACTTGTAGAATTGGCCGAGCTTCAAGATCGAGAAGTTGGTGATGGAACAACCTCGGTTGTTATTGTAGCTGCTGAATTTCTTAAGGTAATTGCGTATGTTTCTTTACAAGATTTGATCAATGCACAAAATAGCCATTTTAGACTACTTTGTATGTTAATAATCGTTCTAATTTGATAACGTGTTATTTACTCGCAATTCAACAGAGGGCAAATGATCTGGTTAGGAATAAAATTCACCCAACATCCATAATTAGCGGCTTCAGAGTGAGTAACTTTCACCCGCTTCAGTATGATCACCTTTTTCTTGTTAATAATATATCATGTATCAGAATCTGAACATGTTTTCTGGGTCTTTTGTTTGCTCAGCTAGCTATGAGGGAAGCATGCAAATATGTTGAAGAGAAGTTGGCAGTGAAAGTAAGTGTCTTCCTGAGAACTTGTTGACAAGTGAATGAGTATGAACTTATATAGTGTGAAATATGAACTTTTTGAAACTGATTGAAAATTATCCTGTAGTTTCTTTTTTGGTTCTATACATGTTGTCTTCCTTTTGCTCATCCTTTGTTTTTCTTTACTAGGTTGAGAAGCTTGGGAAAGATTCTCTAATAAACTGTGCCAAGACAAGTATGTCCTCAAAGCTGATAGCTGGTGACAGTGACTTCTTTGCTAATTTGGTATGATTATTGCCCCAACTGAGTAATTTATTACCTTTTGACTCTCTTCCATATGGAGTATACTTTAACCAGTGTTTTTATGCGTCCTTTTAATTGATCCACTCAATTCATTTTCACACTTCAAACATATATCTTTAACTTCATTTATCTTTCCTACAGCAAGGATTTCTGGATTAAGCAGTAATGAATCTTTTAATTTTTTTTGCTATATCATATCTTATTCAAGACATTAAATGTTTCCTTTTCTATCATTTATGAGATGTAAGGGATCAAACCCTGGTAAGGATGCCTATTTAGCTCATGTATTGATTTTGTTATGTATAGGTTGTAGAAGCAGTTCTGGCAATAAAGATGACCAATGCACGAGGAGAAGTCAGATACCCAATTAAGGTAGGTATTTTGAAACATATCTTACTAGATGTCCTTGTATGAGCTTATTGTGGAATAGATCCTACCATTATCTATAATTAGAGTTTCATTTAGTTGTTTAAGTCATTATTATTCTTTTTCATATTCCAGGGAATTAATGTTTTAAAGGCACATGGAAAAAGTGCCAGAGATAGCTACCTACTGAATGGTTATGCTTTGAACACTGGCCGTGCTGCACAAGGAATGCCCTTAAGAGTTTCCCCTGCCAAGATTGCTTGTCTTGATTTTAATCTTCAGAAAACAAAAATGCAGTTGGGAGTCCAAGTCTTGGTTACTGATCCTAGGGAGCTTGAGAAAATTCGTCAAAGGTGACAAGTCATAATGTTGTTAACTTGTTTGGGATAACAATTTGCATTGCTTGATTGAAGCTTCCTTTTTTTAATTTCACGTCTGAAGTATGTAGAACTTCATCATATTATCTAGAGCCTGCCTAGGGTAAATGTTAAAATAGATATTCGTAAACATTAAACGTGGTCCTGATGATATCTATATCTCAACAGAGAAGCTGATATGATGAAAGAACGTATTGAGAAACTTTTGAAAGCTGGAGCCAATGTTGTCCTGACTACGAAAGGAATTGATGACATGGCACTCAAGGCAAGTTTCTTTCGTATTTTGTTTTATGCAACTGCTTACTGGCTTGTTTTTAATATTTCCCTAAATTCTTCATTGCTATTTCAGTATTTTGTGGAGGCGGGAGCTATTGCTGTGAGACGTGTCCGAAAAGAGGATATGCGCCATGTTGCTAAGGCAACTGGTGCGACCATGGTACATTCTTACATATTTCAACCATCTAATTTTTTCATGTTTTGTGCTATTCATTATAACTCATTCGTGCTCTGTTTGTCGTTGAATTGATTGAAGGTTATGATTTGATAATCAATCCCTTTGCTATGGACACTCGTCTGAAACTTAATTGTGTTAATTTGAACTAATTGGAATATGCTTTTATTCAGGATTGTATCGTTTGTAACTTTGTTGTATGTCAGTGTAGTCTTCTCTCTCACTTTTTCTTTTCTTTTTGAAGTGAGAACTTTAGATGCTACTTGTCTTTGCTTGTCATAGTTTAAAGGTCTAGTAAAAGCTTTTGTCTTAATAATGTTCTTCCTCATTGATGGATATGTAGGTTTCAACCTTTGCCGACATGGAGGGTGAAGAAACTTTTGATTCATCGCTTCTTGGATATGCTGATGAAGTTGTAGAGGAGCGCATTGCTGATGACGATGTTGTTATGATTAAAGGGACCAAGAGTACCGGTGCGGTATGTTTGTTGCTATCTATCTTTGGACTCTTGATTCATTTAAAATTATATCTGCAGTTCATTATCGTTCAGATATCTCTGCCCTTTCTCCTCTTATATCTTGAAAACAAAATTTTAGGGCTACTGTGATTTGATATGATCTTCATTGTTGTGGAAACCAAAGTCACTTTGTTGTTAGGTTGTGTTACTGTTATTGTTGCAAAATGTTAAAAAAAAGGAAGTTATGAAGTTATGCACCTTAGTATATTGATTGTCACTTGTTGGCTATTATGCCTTTTGATTTTTTATAATTGTGACCCTGATGCCTGTTTTCATCATTTCCAAGGTTTCCCTGATCCTAAGAGGAGCTAATGACTATATGCTTGATGAGATGGAAAGATCCCTACACGATGCTTTATCTATTGTGAAAAGGACTCTTGAGTCCAACACGGTAATGATTATTTTAGTTTCACGATCCAACACTTGCATGAATGAGAGAATAGTCTAGTTGAGCTTAGCTGGTTGATATATTTTCAATGGTTAAAATTTGGACATTCAGCAGTAGCATCTTCACTGTAATGTGGGTATTTCCCCCCCCCCCTTGTGAATGTATATTTAGTGGTGTCCATTTTGATTGTCATAATATGGTAGGTAATATTTACTCACTGGTGTTCATTCTGGTGTTGGCACTGCTAGGTAGTAGCAGGTGGAGGTGCTGTTGAAGCTGCCTTGTCCGTTTATTTGGAATATCTCGCCACGACTTTAGGATCACGTGAACAGTTGGCAATTGCAGAGTTTGCCGAAGCTCTATTAATTATACCAAAGGTAGCATTAGTGTTAAGCTAGGAAGAAAGTTGTGAATTTTTTATCTTTTATTGCCCCATCTCATTTCTTGCTTTATATGAAGAGTAAATATTCATGTCGACATGCACAGGTGCTTGCAGTCAATGCCGCAAAGGATGCCACTGAATTAGTTGCAAAACTTCGGGCTTACCACCACACCGCTCAAACCAAGGCTGATAAGAAACATTTTTCAAGGTATACATAGAGCATTTTATGATGAATAAGAGTAATTTGATAAAAGAAAATACCAGATAAGATGATCGATCTTGTCAATTTTCAGCATGGGCTTGGACCTCTTGAATGGAACCGTTCGAAACAACTTAGAAGCAGGAGTCATCGAGCCCGCAATGAGCAAAGTGAAGATTCTTCAGGTAATTGCAATGATCTGGCAATTTTTGTTTGAATATGTTAGTTATCCAACATTGAAAGCAATCTACTCATGATTCCTAAAATACTGTTTTGCCAGTTTGCAACTGAAGCAGCCATAACCATTCTTCGAATCGACGATATGATCAAGCTTGTCAAAGATGAAAGTCAGAATGAAGAGTAGGGGAGATGGTATCGTCGTTAACAATCATGTTTGTAGGGTAATATAAACGATTGAGATGTGAATTTTTTTATGTTTTTGCTATTTGTTCATGTGACTGGTATTAGAATGAACTTATGTTTGTTTTTGTTCAGTGATTCAAAAACCACCTTCCTTTTTGTTTTTTTGGTTGTATGCTTTGGCACTGCACTGATGTTAAATTTACTGGAAAAGGGGTTTTGATAAAGAAATTACATAGAAATTGAGAACTTAGTTTTCAAAAGCGTTGGGTGCAGGAGGGCGTAGGAAAAATTGTCTCCGGAGGCACAGGCACACTTCTTCCGCTTTTGGCACTTTTTTTATGTGGGCGCAGGCGCTGTGCTTCTTGCACCTATGGGAGAGGGGGAGAAATGAACAGAAAAATAAGGTGCTTCCATTTCTAAACTCCTACTCTCATGAATGATGTTGGAGAAAGAACCTAAAAACGAAAAGTTATTTCTTATATTAAAGCTTTTTATTCCCTATATTTGACATAATTATATCACCATAATAAATGTTATGTACAACACGATATCAGACATTAATGATATTTTTATCTTTATATTTAGTCATCCATGACACACTAGTCTTATTGAATTTTCTGGAGATCAGATTTCTTTTATATACATATCTTTGAATGTAAAAAACAATTTTAACATTAGCATTATTGGTTCATGTGATACATTGGACTTTATTCTAATTTCCATCTATTTTATGATTACGAAAGTGAATTATCTTTTACTTCTCAATTTTTATGTCCGCGAAATTGAACTCTTTTTCACTTTCTAAATCCGTTATACCCGTGATATTTCAATTTTCTAATGCCCTGTTCAACATATAATCATGTCTTCTTTATTCATGTATGGTATTTTCATCTAAATGATTAGCAACTTTTTCATCTTACAAAAAAAATGAATTATCTAAAACTATTGAATCATGTAAAACATAAAATTAAATAACTTTTGTCTTTTCTTTCATCATAACAAGTTGGCTATCACAAGTCCTTATAATTATACCTTTGATTGGAGTATTTGTACCTTTTGAATTCAAGGCACTCAACAAAATAAATATTTTTCTCAAATTGAAAATGTATCTCACATATTTATTCTAAAAACTCTTATTCATTTGATAGTAAACACTCAAACAGCTACAATCTCTAGTGTTTGAACCTATAATTTCTAAGAATTACACTCATTCTTTTAACCACTAAGATAACTTGATTCATGCTATAAATTATTTATTTTTAAAACAATGTTATTATCCTAATCATATACTAATATGAATTTATGTACCAAATATATATATATATATATATATACACACACATTAATTTAAATTTTAGGGTTAAGATAAATTTACACAATGTAATTTTTTAAATTTTATAAAATTAAAAATTATTAGACGAGTAAAAATAAATAATCGAGAGTGACTCTTTACTTTTTCTGTAAATATAACCATCCATTTGATCCTATCCCTAAATTTTATATTTAAGTAATGATTTAATATAGTTTCACGAAACATCGCGCGTATTCTAATACAAAAGGCGAATAAAAAAAGGGCTTCAGTTTGGGCTTTCATCAGATTGTTTCGAGAAACAGACTACAGGAAACTCCTCGAAGCCTGCTCATTCTTATTACATTCCCCGCCGTTCTGCTTCTCTTCTTCTTCGGCTGCCTGATTTATAATTACAAGAGATAAATGGAGAGCAGTAAAGAGAAATTTGTAGACGACGTCGGATCACTAGTTGAAGCTATATCGGCTGATGACGATAACGCCACTCCTCTTTATGAAGTCGAAAGTCTCTGCATGCGCTGCACCCAGAACGTAATTCTTTCTGTTTTGTAAAAAAAGGAAAAAAATGTTCCCAATTTATCTCTTTTTTACTTTATTATTTTCGTTTTTATTGATTTAATTTTGTTTACAGGGAACAACAAGGTTTTTATTGACTTCAATCCCTCATTTTAGAAAGGTAATTACCAAAGTGTTCAATTTTGTTCCCTTTGTTTTCTTCTTAGTAATTTATGTTTTTGGCCACCAGGTCTTGCTCTCAGCTTTTGAATGCCCGCATTGTGGTGAAAGGTAATGCCGTTTTCACTTACTATATGCTTGAAAAAAAATCTTTTTGGGAAAAATTGTTTTTTTTTTATGCTTTTATTTGTCTATATTAGGAACAATGAAGTTCAATTTGCCGGTGAAATTCAACCTAAGGGATGCCATTACCGTTTGGAGGTCCAATCAGGAGATCCCAAGGTTGTGGTTCCTACTTGATTCTTAAAAAAATAATCAATGCTTTCTTCCTGTTTTATATTGATTTATGTGTGTGTTCATATACTTTGTCGACTATTTGAACAAGTATTACCTGTAATAAGTGATACCTGTGCCTTACCAATACGTCTCTTTTTAATGTAGATGTTTAGTCGACAAGTGGTGAAATCGGAGTCTGCCACCATAAAGGTACATTTTCGTAAAATGTTCATATTCCCAATTTTACATTTCTGTTTATGTTTCATTGATGTTCATCTCTTTTTCTCCAATATGTATATATCAACTGAAATACATTGAATGGTACCTTTTATCTTACACGGTTTATCTCTTCGTATAGATCCCTGAACTGGATTTTGAGATCCCACCTGAGGCTCAACGGGGAAGTCTATCAACAGTATTTTCTTGAACCTCTTGCCTGTTTTGCTTTTCTTTATTTAACTTTTTAGTGCTTCACTGAGGCCACCCGTTTATCTACTATAAATTTTGGATTTTCTTCCTCATATTTTTGCAACCAACTCAGATATTGTCTAACGCTTCTAGGTGGAGGGAATACTAGTACGAGCTATAGATGGACTACAAGCCCTTCAAGAAGAACGCAAGGTTTATTTTGTGACTGACATTTGGTCTTGCTTGATATTATTTAGTTTTCAGTACTTGACATGGTTTTCTTTTATTGGACAGAAAGCTGATCCCCAAACTGCTGAAGCAATTGACCAGTTTTTGTTGAAGCTGAAAGCTTGTGCAACAGTAGTCTCCTTTCACCTTCATCTTGGATGACCCTGCTGGAAACAGCTTTATTGAGAACCCGTAAAAGGAAAATTATAAATGACAAAGCGCTATTTTAACATTTTTTTTGTGTTCCTTATGGACTTATGCTTTTAATGATGGGTGGTTGAAATGTAAAGCAGTTGCTTCCATATGAAAAATTTAAATCAATAATTGGGTTGTTCTAGATTACATTAGAATATCATGATGTCATCAGGTTTGCTCCATCTCCTGATCCATCATTGAGCATTAGATTCTATGATCGAACACCTGAACAACAAGCATCATTGGGATATCTTGTAGACTCATCATCGCAGTTTAATGTGCCTCAAGCATCTATGGGAGAAACAAACAATGATGTTGGTCAAATAAGAAGACAACCACATGGATCAGTTGGAGCGGCAGCTGGTCAAAAGGCCATTGCTCAGAGTAATAGTGCTGAAATTGCTGAGGCCTTATTCCGATATTCTGCACCTGAAGAGGTAAGCCACTTTCAACTATTAAATTATACAGATTCTTTTGGAGGAATGAAAGAACTACATTGACAAGAGTGAGGTTAAGAAGAGTGATTTTTAAGTTAAGTGCATTTACCTGTTGTTGTTTGAACCCCCCACCCCCCCCCCAAAAAAAAAAAAGGAAAAAGGGAAACAAAGAAAGATAAGAGAGAGAGATTGTGATTGGCATTAAATTTATCCTCTTCTTCTCCCTGCTCTCCTAAATGTTGCTATATTCATTAAAAAATGAAAAGAAAGAAAACCGTCTAGAGATGCTTATTTTTTTTGTATATGAGGATTTAGCATTTTGTCTTAAATTCCCTTTATGCCTATTTTTTTGGTACCTGTTTCTTTCCTTCAAATAGGTAATGACTTTCCCATCAACTTGTGGAGCCTGTGCTGCTAGGTGTGAGACTCGGATGTATGCAACCAGTATCCTCCGTAATATTGTCATGTTTTGCATTTTGAGCAGTACAACATTCTGCTTCATGGTTAGATCCAGCTATAGGTCTATGCATAATGAGTATCTGATTTGGAGTAAAACTGCATAGTTATTTATTCATCGTGATTTCCTTTATCAGTTTGCTCGTGTGAAGTGTGTAAGTTATAAATGTTTTGAATGTTGATATGTTGCTATTGATTCAAATGTTGTACCTATGGACGTGTTAGTGAGAGAGGCTCCAGCTTCTCTCTAACCAAGGTGTTTTCAAATTTCGAATTACAATAGCCCAGGCGTCTTTTGAAAAAATTTCTCTCTCCTCCGACATCCACCCATTATCCGCTACCGCCGACAGCCGTCCGCTGCCGCCGCCGTCCGCCGCCATACTCCGACCACCGTTTGAATCTTTTTTCTCCTGGGAAGTTCACCGAATCAAGGTGATTCCAAATCTGGCTTTAGATTTGCGATTGAGACATTCAATCGACACAAATCTGCTCGAAGTTCACCGCCGATTTACGCCTCTTCCCGCCGCTAGTGGTCGTCACCGCCTCACCACCGGACTCAGCTTCTTCTCGCGACCATAACTCCCTTTCCTAGTGTCGAAAATCAGTTCTATTTCCAGTGTACTGGTTCGGTGAAATCTTACCCTATCCAAGCTGTCTGTTTTTCCAGTTAATCCTCTTCCCAACTTCCCAGTTCTATCCATCTGGTTCGGTGAAATCTTACACAATCCTCCAAGCTGTCTGTTTTTCCAGTAAATCATCTTTCCCAGATCTCTCCATGGAACCTCTACGCTCGTCTAAGCACAGGCGTACTAGTGGTTTAGCTGCAACAACTGCGGCAGGTGCAGCGTCTGTGAACTCCATTAGTACTTCCTCTGGACCTGACAATGCAATCAATTTTTCATTTTCCGGCAAGGAAAAACGTGAGAGGGAGAGCGAAAAGGAAAGGACAAAGCTCCGGAGATGGAACAGGCGAGCCTTCACCAGACGTTTGCTGGCCGGATTGCGACAGTTTGGTAATTTCCATCTCTCAGAGCGTTCTAATATGAACGATGTACTGGCCACCTTGGCCCGTGAGGCAGGTTGGACAGTTGAGGCCGACGGCACTACCTTCAGGCAATCGCCTTCGCCCCAAAAGCAGCAAAATTCAAGAGTATTTTCAGCGAGGTTGGGTGATAGTCCTTTATCAACCGGGA